GCCCAGGGCTAGTTCTTTCCAAAAATGTATAGTTTATATGCAATTCCAGCTCAGGATAATTTTGACGATTTTTTGAAAAATCATCAAATTTTGCCAAAAATAGTGGAATTTTCAAGTGGCTCCAAAGAGCATTTGGAGAAGACATGAATCGGAGTACCGAAAAACTGGAAGTAGCCCGGGACTAGTTCTTTCCAAAAATGTATAGTTTATATGCAATTCCAGCTCTGGATAATTTTGACGATTTTTTGAAAAATCATCAAATTTTGCCAAAAATAGTGGAATTTTCAAGTGGATCAAAAGGGCATTTGGAGAAGACATGAATCGGGGTACCGAAAAACTGGAAGTAGCCCAGGACCAGTTCTTTCCAAAAATATATAGTTTATATGCAATTCCAGCTCAGGATAATTTTGACGATTTTTTGAAAAACCATCAAATTTTGCCAAAAATAGTGGAATTTTCAAGTGGCTCCAAAGAGCATTTGGAGAAGACATGAATCGGGGTACCGAAAAACTGGAAGTAGCCCGGGACTAGTTCTTTCCAAAAATGTATAGTTTATATGCAATTCCAGCTCTGGATAATTTTGACGATTTTTTGAAAAAAACATAAAAAGCATATGTTACACAAAATCATAAAATACATTCATACATACGTACAAAAATTACCTTTCAATCCTCAACACTTGTGTTGTTATAAACGATCAATAAAAGAATCGATCCCTAAATAGGGTCAAAACTTCGGACACCATAGCAACTGTGTAGGGAATTTTGAGAATTTTCTCAACAAAGAGCTTAACTTTTTTTCGACTTGTTCTAGAGTTTTTGTGAAATCTTTAATTTTTTAAGACATTTCCCAATATTCGCAAAGAATTACAAGTGTTTTTATGAAATCTTTTAAAATTTTTAATTTCTTCTGCTTCATTTTTTTTGAGATATTGTAGAGTTTTTTTTCAATTTTCACAACGAATACGAAAAATATTACCTAAGAATGGTTATCGTGGTAGTTCACTACGCGCGAACGGTCAAGTAGAGTCGAAGGGACTCTATTTTTACATTATTATTACCTGAGAATATAAAAAACACAAGAAAAAATTGTGCTGTCATAAACACATTAAAACGGCGATCCCAACAACAAATTAACAAATTAACTTACAACAATATTTTGCTACCTCCATCACTCTCATTATTTATTCACAAAATGAAATTTTGAACTGCCGTCAAGATAATTCTTTAAAAAGAGTTCATTGAGTGATATTTAATATTAACAAAAGTTTTTACACGTAAAAACTGTTAACGAAAATTCAAATCAAATATCAAATATTGAGCAACAGAAGTTGATTTTTGAAATGTTTTTCATAATAAGAATAATAGTATCGACCTGAAACTACCTACATTTTGCGCAAAATTGTATGCTTTTTCAAAAAATCGTTAAAATTATCCAGAGCTGAAATTGCATATAAACTATACATTTTTGGAAAGAACTAGCCCTGGGCTACTTCCAGTTTTTCGGTACCCCGATTCATGTCTTCTCCAAATGCTCTTTGGAGCCACTTGAAAATTCCACTATTTTTGGCAAAATTTGATGATTTTTCAAAAAATCGTCAAAATTATCCTGAGCTGGAATTGCATATAAACTATACATTTTTGGAAAGAACTAGCCCTGGGCTACTTCCAGTTTTTCGGTACCCCGATTCATGTCTTCTCCAAATGCTCTTTGGAGCCACTTGAAAATTCCACTATTTTTGGCAAAATATAAACTATATATTTTTGGAAAGAACTGGTCCTGGGCTACTTCCAGTTTTTCGGTACCCCAAAATTATCCTGAGCTGGAATTGCATACAAACTATATGTTTTTGGAAAGAACTAGTCCTGGGCTACTTCCACTCTGCCGGTACCCCGATTCATGTCTTCTCCAAGTGTCTGTTTTTTGCATTTGAAAATTCTATATTTTACTACCATATTTGACGAGTATAAAATTATTTTAACTAATTTTTATTTTATATATTAATTTTTTTAATATATTTTAATATAATTTTACTTTATTTCTTAAAAAACATTTTATTTGGTGCTCGTTTTATTAAAAAATAAATTTTAATTCATTTGAAAACGAATTTTATAGTATGTGGAACGTATTTGACATATGTGGTGTGGGACGTATCTGGCCGACGAATTTAACTTCACACCCTTTATATTATTTATTATTTAAAAAACTAATTTTTAGAAATTTTGCTAAATTCATTGACTTTTTGAGCTAAAATTTAATTTGTTTTCCCAGAAAATTTCTAGAAATTATCTAGATAAAAATCTTTATATTTTTGCTAGTAAAATAATTATTCTATACATATCCGCTTTAAAACCGAAACAAAAATACAATTATTAAGTTTGTTTTTTTTTTTTATAAATAAAAACCAACATTAAACGTGTATGTAGTTTGTTTAAGGAAATACAATTTTATAACTGATTAGAATTTATAATTAAGGCCTATTGAGTTAGAATGAGCATAAATTATAAAACACTATAATTTTGTTAATTTTATAAATAGTTAAACTTTAACATATATTTTTTTAATTTAAAGCTTGTTTGGGTTTAAAACAAAATTATGTTTAAAATGTCCAAAAATTCTAAATGGGTAAAGGTTAAATTTAAAAATAAGTTGAAATTTTGAGGTTAAAAATTATTGAAGAGGTTTAAACAATTTTTCTATTTTGGTTTTAAAAACATAAGATGTTAAGTATTGAAGACTTTTGCTTTAAAATATGTATGTATTTAGAAAATTGTTTAGAATTTGGAAATTGCCTTTAAGATTAAAAATTTGGGGTCTTATTCATAATCCTTTATAAAAAGTTTTTAGAACTACTTTTCAGTCAAAATTTGTTCCTTAAACGTTTGAAAAAGGGTTATAAACAATATCCTTTGAATTTCAAAGAAATTGAAAACTGTTTAAACTGATTGCTTGCTTAATTTCTAGTAGAACTAAATTAATTTTAACAAAAAACTATTCAAAATTTTATTTAACAACGGGAAAAATACTTTAAAATTGTTAATTTTAAAAAATATTTTAAGGTGATTTTTTAAAAATATTGCAATTTAACATCAACAAATACCTATTATAAATTATGAATTAAAAATTTAACAAATTTTCAAGAAATATTAAGATTTAAAAAAGAATATCATTAAATTTTGCAATATTTATTATATTCATTATATTTTAGTTCACTAAATTAAAAATTTAAGTAAAAATATGCAAAATTCCCAAAACAATCAGTAAAAATCGCTAAATTAACAGCAAAAAATCGCATAAAAACATTGAGTTCTTGTTCTAGAATAAAAAATGTGGCAATAATTACTAAAAACCACAAAAAGCTAAAAATTTAACAAAAAAATTTAAATGTTATAAAACAAATTAGATTTTTTTATAATTTAATAAATTTTTGATATAAACAATTAGTTCTTTCTAAATAATAAACAATATTTTAAAAAATCTTTAAAAGAATTAAAAATTTGTAAAAAAACAATTAAATTTTAATATTTTTAAATGCTTATGCAAATTTTAAACTTTTTTTTAAAAAGTTCTTTAAAAAAAAAAACACCAGAAACTTCTTTACAACAGCATGTTTTTTGTTTAAAACTTTTTTAATAATTTCGCAATTACGTTTTACCAAACATAATTTTATTAAACACACCACATCACCTTTTAGTTTATTTCTTTTCTTTTTTGTTCTTTTATCGGGATTTATTAAAACTGATTTAAATTTCAAACTTTTTTTCTTTAAATTAAACAAATTTAAATTATAAGCAGCACTTATAGAGAAAAAAACATAAAATTCAAAAGAAAATTTATAAAAGAAACCACACATTCAGCAGTTTATTTCTTTGGCAGTTTTTTTTATCAGAGTTCTAAAAAAGACGAGAAAAGCAAAAAAGGAAAAAACGTTAAAAAACAGTTTTTTCTTTCTGCTCTTGTGTTTTTTTTTTTCAAGTAGAGTTCATATCCATCCATACATCAGTTAAATCATACCAACAAAAACAAAACACACACGCCTATACCTACAAACAAACACACACACACACAAAGGTTCAAACACAGAGTTCATGAATATAAAAATTGTGTAGGTTTTTTTTTGTTGCTTTTTTGTTATTTCATTTTATACTTTTCTTCATATTTCAGTTATTTCAAGTTTTTGTTGTTATATTTTTTTGTTATTCCTTCTTTATGTTTTGTTTTTTTTGTGTATTTTGCGCGAAATATTAACAAAACAAATGTTTAAGGGGAAGAGTATAAAAAAAAAACAGAACAAATTATTAAAGAGAAAACAAACGCAAAATATTTTAAAAACACAAGAGAATTTAAGTTTTCTTTTTTTTTAAACAAAGAGTTGGTTAAAGTAGGAAATTACTCATTTTTTCTTCGTTAAGAACTTTGTTTTTTATTTCAGCAAAGACAACAGCCACAACAACAATAAGGAGAATTAAAGGAAAACACACAAACGCTTACTCAAATACAAAATTTATACATTTTTACTGTACAAGTTTTTTTCTTCTTCAGCTTGTTTTAAGAGTTGCCATAATTTGTAGAATTTTTTTTTTTAAAAACTAAATTTTGTTTAAAAAATTTTCTAAATTTAAGTATTTTTTGTTAGTATTTGTTTATATTTTATAAATTTGTTTCTTTTCATAATAAACTTTTCTGTAATTTTTTTTAAGTCTGCAGAAGATAATCCATGTTTTTAATTTGTTTCTTTTAGAAAAGGTTTTGTTTTTAATTAATAGTTTTTTTTCTTTTAACTTTAGCTTTTGTTCGTGGGTTTTATTAAAAATATTTAAGTTATTGTTAGGTTTTTAATAGACTTAATATGTTACCATATTTTTTTTGTTCAAACACTTAATAACAATTCTTTTTTGTTTAATATTGCTCTTCCTTTAGTAAATTTCTTCACTTTAATAAATATTTCTATTTTTCTTTAATTTTATCAAAAATTATAAATATAAAACTTTTTTATTCACCTTTTTTTCTAAATTTCTTTAATTTTTTATCTTTGTTTTAGTTTAAACTTTAATAAATTTCCTGCTTTTTTTTCTGGTTAAAAAAAGCGTTGTTAAAATTTGTTTGATGTTTTTTTGTATTTGAATTTTTGTTTTTTACTTTTTTTGTAAAGTTTTTTTTTTAGTAGGGGTGACGCCGATTAAACAACAAAAAAATGTTTTTATACAAAATTCAACGGACAACGGCGTATGAAAATACGCGCGACGACCACGAAGAACGGCAACAGAATGATGTATAAAATGGTAAATTTTGTTGTATAGACATAAAACCAGCCAGTCAGCCAAACAGACAGACGGATGGAACAGCAAAAAAACAAGAACCCAAGCACAGAACATAAAACAACAACAACAAAATACACTGAAAAGAACTCCATCAACAGCAGCAGCAGTAGTAAAAACAACAACAACAACACATATAATAATATGAAGAACTAAAAACACACACACGTTTTCATACACATTCGTACTCATATATAGCCAGCTCAAAAACAAACACACAAAGAGTAAATTCTCTTTGTGCGAGAGAGCATTTCAAGAAACAAGAAAAACAAAACAAAAAAACGTTTAACAAAATTCTAAAGAGCTTTACAATTTGTTTTTGTCATAGTAAGAGAGAGAACAGGAGGAAGAAGAATTTATTGAGAGTTTGCCTAAAAGTAAAATATTGGGGGTAAATGTAATATTTGTCTTTGTGTCCTTTTAATGGAAGGAATACAAAATTAGTAGCAATTATTTTATAGTTACAATATACAACGTTTAATTACACGGACCTACAAATTTTAACATACAGTCCAAAGCATAGTTTTGATTGAACATCGCTATATTCGAATTTCTCTATCACGTCAGGTTTTTGTGGTATCGTTCCCTAGGAAATGAAAAATAGCCATTTTTGCCTACATTTAACAACGTTATAATAGCTCGAACAACAACAAAGATAAAATCTGTTATGTCATCTGAAAGTCCTGTCTGTCAATGAGGCATACAAAAAGAAGAGCCCAGATTCGTATTCAGCATTCCTAAATTCTTCATAAATGTAAAATTCTCTGGTGTCCGGGTTTCGACTTTTTTCAATATTTTTTTTTTTTTGGACTGTATTATATTACAAGTTAAATAATTAGAAAAAACTTCCCGGAGGAATAATTCAAGAATTGGATTATAAAGACACCTATCAAGAAAGCTAAGTGGACATCCCCGTATATAAGAATTTAGGCTGTAAAAAAATAATTATGGTGCGTCTTGTAGACTTGTGGACACGTTTCCGAACAATTTATGAATTGTATCTTCGATTTGTTATCGCTTATTTTAACAGTATTGGAATTAGGTCGATTTTGTTTACATTAAAAAAATCCATAAGAAATGTTTTTTGAAATTATAGATCTAGGAAGATCCTCTAGGATTAATTTTAATAAAACACAGTACTACAATCGATTTCGAAATTTTTTTGAAAACAATGTCACTTTAAAAGTTATATTTATTTATATTTGGACAACCTACAAACAGCATAGACCGCAACAACTATTAAAAAATAATTTCTAATACAGCTGCTGTCAGAATAATAGAACTACTTCCTCAGTTAATTTGAAATTAAAAGTATATTATTTAAATCTGGTATTTGTATATTGGTTTAAAATATTGGAAAATGTGTTAAAAATATCTCAATTACTGCGGCACTTTTGTTCAGAATCCAGTTTTTAACATTTCTTCGGGTGTTATGTGGGCCTTTATATTATTACATGACCAAAATGGTGGAATTCGACCGTATAATTTGCATAAGGATGTTTGGAGGACTTTTTAGGTAATAAAAAAATAATGTTGGACTTCTCTGCTCAAATAGCATTGTCCCAGTTTTCAATTGGCTAATCTGAATGAGTTTTAACATACCCTAACACTTTTATTACATCCTTGTAATAATAATAAAGGTCATAAAATTTGTTTGAGGTATTTATGCTCCAGTATTTATAAGTGAATTATGGAGATTTAAGTCATTTTCTGTATGAGGACTAAGGTCAAATGAGGTCAACCATTATGAAAATGGGCTCAATATATGAGGTAAAACTATGGATCTAGTTGTATGGGGGCTAGGTAAAATAATGAGCTGATTTCAAGAATACTCAAAGCTTTCATTCTTTGATCAAAAATGAAAAAAGTAAAAACTTTCAAAATTTCCACTAGAATTTTTGTACCATAGTTTCGAACTAGACCTGTTTGATGTTGACCGGTTGATCCGCAACAGGATTAACTACATGCTATGGAACAGATAGATAAGCTACGAGATGTATGACATAATTACCAGAAAAATGTTTTTACTCTGGAAAACCATGATTAATACCCTCCTAAGAACCCTAACCTAGAAAGGACTCAGTCATGTCTGCAGACTCTGTCGTAATACTTTTAAGGGAAAATTAAATCAAATTACTTGTGTAAGCTGGGCTTAACCGAGATGCCTTAATGTTTCCCTTGTTTCCTGGTAAAAGGTACCGTGGTACCTTAGGTGTAATCCTTAATCCTACTGCTGATCCAGATCTGAACTACAAAGGAAATAAAACTTATATAGGACTGAACTATAACTAAATTATAGAATTGATTCAAAACTGAACATAAATAAGAAAGTGAGATTAATTTTGGACAGTAGAATCTAAAAATAAAGCGATTTTTTTTATTGAATTCCATTGTAGTAGAAGTGTTCCGAAATAAATCTAGGTCCTGGTCTTCATTAAAATAGTAAAATAATGGTGGAATATAACAAGAATTGAGCTGAAGCAAATTTTCAGCTCAGAAAATCGAATATATAGATAATTATATATAAAGATATTGGGGCTTTCTAATCGATTAAATATATAAAATCTTATTGTTTTCAAATGGTATATGTATGTATTAGGGTTCTATAAATTGACTTTCGAATAATCGAACAATCGACTTTTTGTCGAAAAAAGTCGAAAAGTCGAAGTCGACTATTTTGTTCCAAAAAAGTCGATAACTCGACTATCGTCTGTGAAAAAAATCGAAAAGTCGACTTTGTTAATAAAAGTCGATAAGTCGAAGAAAGTCGAAAAAAGTCGAAAAGTCGTAAAAAGTCGGAAAAAGTTGAAAGCTCGAAAATTGTAGAAAAAAGTCAAAAATAGTCGAAAATTTTAAAAAAGTAAAAAAAAAAAAATAAAAAAAACTCTAAAATAGTCGGAAAAACGCGAAAAAAAGTCAAAAAATAGTCGAAAAAAGTCGAAAGAAGTCGAAAATAGTCAAAAAGTCGAAAAAAATCGAAAAGTCGGAAAAAGTCGAAAAGTCTGAAAAAGTCGAAAAGTCGACTATTTATAAAATACTTATAGTCGAAAAGTCTAAAAGTCGACTTTAAATTAAATGAAGTCGAAAAGTCGACTTTTCGTTTCAACTATCTGCCGGTCCACACTAGGAAACTTTTTTTGGGACACTTTTGATTTTGCGTGAGAGAGAAAGAGAAACAATATCATTCATCTCTCTCGCGGTACGGAGTTTCTCGTACTCGGAAACTTGTTTTGTTTTGTTATTCTTCTCATTCGTACAACAACAAATCAATGCAATTAATACGTAGTTTCTGAAACAAAAGTTTCTATTTGTGGACATTAAGGAAACTTCAAAAGAGAATTAAGAAAAAGTTTCTCAACAAAAGTTTCCTAGTGTGGACCAGGTCTATAGAACCCTAGTATGTATATACCTATGTGTACCTCTTTGCAAATTTTACCTACCACAACTAGCAGGGCTAATAACTTATAACTACACCCAATATATTTAATAATTTCATTTTAAATGAAGGGGAGTTCAATGGTTTTTTAGCAACAGCAGTACAACAATAAAAACGGCAAAAACATTTAAAACTATTAAAAAAAATTGTTACTGTTGTTGGTGGTGGTGTTGCCGTAGATGTAGTATTTTTGTAAAAGAACAAAGGAAAACATAAAACAACAAGAAAGAAACGTTTTACCTGCAAGCCATCATCATCATCAAATTTCATACCATGATGAAACTCTTCTTATTTTAAATCGAAACAAAATTAAAAATTGTACAACAAAAAAAAAAGAAAGAACGAATCAGTAAAAAACGAAAATCAGGCTTAAAGAATTCACCGTGTTGTACAAAAGGGCCAGTCAGACAGCCAACCAGCCAAACAAATAACCAAACCATCCAGCAACCATTTATCCATCCGTGCACGTATGTATGTATAAAAATCTACAATAATTTTGTGTATGTTTTTGTTATTGTTGTAAAAAGGCATTCTTCACACATTTTACCATTTTACCTTGTTCTTTCTTTAGTCGTTGACAGAGCCCAGCTAGAGCAGAACAAAGTGTTTGTCTGTGAGTTTGTTTGAACTCGTACCTTGGTAAAATTTGCCTCAAGGTTTTATTCCTTTTATTGCTTTAAATCTCTCTTTTGTATGTGTGCTTGTACAGTATGCAGACTTGAGGACAGACCATCCGACAGACAGACACAAATACAAATATAACACATCAGACGGTGGGACCGCCCGAAAAAGAATTTGGTAAAACAGTATGTAGATAATTGCTGTTAAACATATTGAGCACCAAAAGTTTGTTGATCTTTTCGGTCATGGAAGAAACAATTAAATATTTTTACTGCCAAAGTGATTTCTTAAAATATTTCGCTAATAATTAGAAAGAAATTCGACATACGAAACTAGAACATTAACAGAACCGATCTACGAATTAAATGGAAATAATCCACAGCTTTTCTAAAATTGATCTATAACTGTTCTAGAACCGAACTAGAAGTGAATTAGAACTGAATTATAGCAAAAGTAGAACTAAACTAATACAAAGAACTGAATTGAACATTATATTTAAAATGAACTAAACTTGAATTGACAATGTACTAATGTCGACATGAACTAGTAGTATTAAACTAGAACTAAAATAATACTGAAATAGAACAATACTAGCATACCAGCTGAACGAGAACCCAACTAAAAACTGAGTTAGAACTGAATCTGATTTGAGCAATATCTATACCACAACTGACCTAGAACTGAACTATAAATGAGCTAGAAATGAACTAGAATTGCATAAGAACCGGACTATGTAGAACAGACGTATAAATTAACTAGGACTGAAATAGAACTGCACTGGAACTGAATATGAACTAGAACTGAAGTAGAACCGAACGAGAACTGAGCTAGAAATTAACTAGAAATGAACTGGAACTGAATTAGAACTGTACTAGAACTAGAGTAGAAATGAACAGGAACAT